CCTTGTGTTTGAACACAAATAAAACCTCCAATACAAGATGTTGTTTTCCAACAAAAGTTAAAAATAAGTTTTCAAAAAAGCAATTCTTTTGTAAATATTTTGGAAAACCTATCAAAAAACTGCCATTCAAACCTATACTATTTTTATCAGCTGCTTTACCTACCGCAAAAACAGTCAAGTTGTCTCAAATGATGCCCTGGGCAAGCACTAGCTGTTTTTTTTTTTTTTTCCTTCCTCATCTTATATTCACAACAGATTTGGCTTTGATTTCTTGCCAAAACCACCAACAGTTCTCTGATCTTTTTTATTATTAAAACAACAAAATTTCAAAGTTTTTCTATAACAGATTTTGATGGCCTGTTGATGTAGCAAAGCTGGGGTCTTCGTGCATAGCGATAGGGAGGGCAATTGGCTTAGCAGTTGTGATAACCAACAAAGGAGAGTTTTGCTTGTAGAGCCTTAGGTTTTTCTATTTTTCCACAACATAAACCTACAGGTAAAAGGGAATACCGACGGAATGACTACAAGGATATATTATAAAAAGGAAAAGAGAGAAAACTAATTTTTGAAGCTTTTTTTCCTATTGCAGGAAAAAGACTACACGTCTTAAAGTGGGAACAGTGTCTACAGAAATAAACTAGAAAAGTTCAAACTAAAAGAGATTTTTAGCATATGAATTACCATAATACTGAATTAAAATTTTGAGATAAATTAAAAATTCAACTAAGTATTCAGCAATCCGAATTTTAATCAAATAGTCCAAACTTTAGGAGCCTTGATCTCCCTCGTATGGTGACTAGTTGACGATCCAATCATACTTATGGACTCAAAGCAACAACCTCCTGGATTGCCCTAATGTGATCTGAGAAACACCACCATTGAAAAATTCCATAAAAATTATCAAACTATTATAAACATCAAGAAAAATGATCAATCTAATATTCCATTATTTGATGATCAAATCAAGATCATAAGCACTATGATTGATCAACTACTAGATCTAATCCCAATATCAGAGGTCCCTCATTTTAAAGGATCTTACTCCTAAATTAAAACTCTAAATGGAGGAAAGATGTATGTCAAGCTTCACTGGTGTACATTTGCTTTGCTTGATAATTAATCTTTTAAGAAACTTTTAGAACTTGACAACTTATTTTGAAAACTTGAATTTTTAAAGTTTCCTTATTTGTGGAGATTGGATAATATTTCATCTTTAGGAGCCTACCATAACTATTCAACATCACATTTTGAGTGTCTTACATGGTTTACTTTGTTTTAATGGTAATGTATTTCTTTTGAGTTTGTCAAAACTAAAGAGTCGCTGAGTTTTTCATATCATTTTCCTATTCTAATAGGTTGGAGGATGGTCCTTCAAGCTCCATTAACATGGTGCTCCTTCATAAATATTTGGTAGGCTCTTGCTCCATTGCTTTTTTAGAAGCCAAAATTTCTTCCTTTAAGATGCCTTTGGGTAGCTCTAAAGTGCAACTAAATGCAGCCCCAACCACTCATTGATCACCTTAACTTTGGTAGAGTCAATCTTGATGATCGATTTTCCATGCATCGACAACTTTAGCAAGGGGTGTTGGGTGTTGAATTTCTCACTCCTTTGACATCTGCATGCCACCTTTTTACCGTAGGCAAAGAAGGCATGATTTTCCATTCTTCTTCACTTAAGCGGACCTGTATTCACGGGAATTTATGGTCTGCATTGATAAGTCTATCTGTTTGCCTTGATGTAACTATATCTCCCATTGACATGTCATAGTATTTTTTAATGCAAAAAAAAATCTTCTCTTCCATTGTGAGCCAACACTAATAAGGCCATTGATGCAGTGTCATACCAATTAGGAAGGTATAAGTTGTCAAATGGACATACCTCACATACCATCTCATCGATAGTCTTTGTTAATTACAATTTTCATGTGGCATCTGCGATCAATCATCAGTAAAGGCGCTTGTTGAATCCAACAGAAAGTATAATGATTGAGATGTATTAAAAACCCAACCCTAATTTCAACACCAAATTGATAAAATTGAGATTTTTCTAGCGTTCAATGTCACTGATGGCATTGTTCACCTCTTGTTTGATCTGGATTCTCAAGGTGAAGAACTTTCTTGTGACCTAACTGAAGCACGACCGGAGTAATATATCTTCTAGTAACGCCAATAGAGAAAAAACTAATGGTTCCACTTTATCCAATGTACTTTGGACCATGTTGTCCACCACAATAGCAAGTTTTTTCTTTCCATTCTTTCTTTCATTTTCAGAGAAGAGATCAACGTGCAGTTTCTATTCAAATATGAAAAAGAAGAAAGTTTTTTTTATCATCTACGACGTTTAGAGCAGCCCCAAGCAAAGAATTACTACTAAAATGTGCTCAAACAATAGGCTAAACTCAGATGGCAATTCCTTAATGATAGGAGCAGTGATTTCTCTCACAAGGAGGAATTCTTTTTAGCTTGAGCATGGGATGATCCCTGGATAGTAATTCTTACCAATCTTCACCCCTTACCACCTTGACATTTGGGCATGTAAGGAAGGCGATTAATTTGGTGCAAATTTTTGGTTGATTTCAATGGGTTCTATACATTAACTTTAGTAGTTTTTAAATGAAAAATCTATTGTACTATTTAGATTTGTTTTGTTACTAGCATATGTTTATTGCTTCCCTATTTTCTCCTTTATAAACCTTTATTTATAAGGAAAAATTTTGGCCTACATATGAACGAAGTATTAAACAACTCTCTCCATGAAACCTTATTCTCTTCTCTTTTTTTTCCTTTCAATTTCCAACATTCTTCTTTATTGAAATGATTTATTGAAATCAGCAATTTGACAATTATCACAGAATTTCCCAAACATTGTTCTTTCTTATCAAAAAAAATACACCTTTCAGGTAATTCTTGAGTACTCACTTTTTTATTTTGGTCATGCGATCTACGACTATCATTATCATACAAGCCTAATTGGTAGCAACAAATGAGAATAGGATAAATTATTTTGCAAAATGAAAATAAAATCTTAAAATATACTTCAACATTATTTGTGCATTCCCCAGATTAATTCTTAATAAATCTGCCAAACAACAAAACTAAGTGGTGAATTCCTATAGAAATTATCCTTGAAGTTGCCTCAAATTATACCAGTAATTCCATCAATCTTATACATGGCCATAGGATAAAACTCTTGACATATCAGCTGCTTCAACATCAACAAGTATCCTCTTGATGAATATTTATATTTATAAGGGTGTTCCACCACAGCAAGGCATGATGCCAACCTTTTGATAAGTGTGATATCCTCATATGTAAGAATCTCCACTATGGTTACTACCATGAATGATATTCTCATCTTCATCTCCTCCATTCTTGTTTGCATTTGGAAAGGAAATAAGAGTATGACTTAACCCATTAGTTGCAACAGTGACTGTTTGTATCCTTATCCACTTCATTATAATGCTCATTTGGTATGTCAATCTAACCAAAGTTATAATTGGAATTGAATCATTGTAAGCCATTGATTAGCTTTCTTCTTGTTCTTTGTCTCTTTCTTGGCTTTCACCTAATCAACCAATAGTTCTCTGATTTTTTTATAACTAAAATAGCAGATTTTTCACAGTTTTGTTCCTATAGCAGATTTGGGTGGCCAGGTAAAAGCAATGAGCCTAGTGCTTCCACGCATGACAGCAGGTAGGGCAATTGGCTTTAGCAGATGTGATAACAAATAATGGAGAGTTAAGCTTATTAGGCCTCATAGATCTTTTCTTTTTTGCCTTCTATTTCAATAAAATGGCCTGTGAACCGGCATTTACAACAGAAATATGATACAATCCATTGCTAAACAAACTCCATAGAAAGAGAGAACTCTGTCATCAATAGCAAAATAGATAAATTGAAACCAATAAAATAATTCCAATAGAATTTATCTTAATGCTAAATCATAAATTCAAAGTAAATTTATCCAAACCACTTTAAAAATTAAGCTCATCCTTATCTTTGTTGTAATATGAAATTTAATTCAACAGTACATTTATTGTGCTCTGATCTCCCTCATATGGTGCTTGATTGACAATCCAATTCAATGCAGTGTGATCTAAGAATCACCACCGTCAATATTTTTTATATAAAAAAGAATAGTCAAAAGTTCTTCAATTTTTTCACAATTTGATGCCCAAATCTATAAAATTGAATAGTCAAACGTTCAACAACCAAAATCTCTTCGGTTTTCACAATCTGATGCCCAAATCAAGATCATAAATGATTTAATTGATCATAATAAGATTAACGTGGAACACAAAAATCCTACACATCCATTGTTCAGATCTACTCAAGGTTTACACTTAGTATTTAACAGCTTCTATAATAGCATGGGTCTGCTTAAGTTCCTTCCATGATAAATATACCTCAAGCACTTGATACCAAAAAATGAAAAGGTATAAAATATGAAGCTCGGGGACATGTTTAATGCATAAAAGACCAATCCCAATGCTAACCATTGTTCCTAAAAAGGCAACTTGATTGTAAAACAATAGGTGAAAAGATTAAAATTTTTTTTCCCAAATGCAATGCCTAAATCTATATTACAACTAGCACCAGCTTAAGAACTTAGGTTGCGTATAGGATGCAGAACACCTATAGTTCTGAAAAACCACAGGTGTGGTGTAGTGTACTAAGTGATACCATAATAACAGTTAATGGCCTTCGCTCAGGCTATATACACATATGACCATCAACGCAAAAACACTTCAATAGTTATAGAAAAATGTAAAACCTTTACCAAAATAAACCTTTTTTTAGGGGGGATTCCACATGTGACATAAAAAAAATTTATTTTACACCATCAAAATGTTCTTATCAAAATGAATAAACCTTTAACCATCCATAAATACACATATATGGTATAATTATGTGAAGATAGATCTGCTAAATGAGCAAAAAGATAATAAAGATAACAGGCAAATAAACGAGAATTCTTCATGAAATGGAGTGCAGCTTACTTTTCATTCCTCTTGTACAATCATCACCAACTAAGGAGATTTCATCAACCTTTTCTGCATCAACTACTCTTTGAATCTCTTCAATGTTAATTTCTTGGACTTTTGTGAGTTGTTTTTTTTTATGTTTACAATTCTTCTTGAACTTTCCTGTCATCAATAGATGAAACAAAATTAAACATTCATTGCTTAAACAACCAGTAAAGCTAGACATATCAGTGATTATGAATATAGAAAATTCACTAGCTTTGGTCTTCAATTCATTTGAGGTGACCTCAGGCTCTCTAAAGCTGTCAGTCTCATTCAATGTTTCTGAGTGGATGGAGCTTTCCAAACTACAAATCTTTTCTGATCTTCGACCTTAAAAGCAAGAGTCTAAAATTAATATAAAAAAAAACATGTAGAAAGAAAAATAGGAACATGTTATTATTCTTTTGTCAATCAACCATACCCTTAATTTTTAGTTTCTTCTTTATAGAAACCTTTTTGTTCATCTTCACATGGTAAATTTTTCTTTTCTTAAGCTATAGGAGGATAACTTTAGCACGTCCCAGGTCATTAAACTATCATAAAAGTAAGACAACCAATATTTTCTTAGTACTTTGATTAACATTTCAATTTTGATTGACTCTTTGTAGTTATCTTCAATTCTACTTTATTTTATGTTAAGTTATTTCATTGTAGTTCAACATAACATAAGAGAAGCATCACTTGTAGGATTTGAAGGAATGACAACAGGTTTTGAATACCCATATTCTAATCTACATAATATTTTTCAGACTTAGCAGCTCAACCCTCAAATAAACTGAAACAATCAAAGATACTCCTCCCACATCCATAACAATATATAAGTGAATTGGATTATTCATCTACCAACACGTCTACTTTTTATAACAGTTTTGAAGTATTTCATAAGACCTGCATTTTGAAATTGCTACCATTATGCATTAAATGATATTACTATACATCAGTGATCAAACAAAAGGGATTATCTGCTTAATTATTTACTAACCATGCTACTCAGCAAGGTACAACAACATAAAATTCATCCACAGCTTCAAATTGAGTTACAATAAAGAAAATATTGCAATAAGTGATTATGTTCACCTATCATGTACAGTCAATATACCAACAGCAGCATCAGCATCAAGTATCAACCTATCCCAACTAATTGGGCGTGTCCTTATTGTTATCTTAATGCAAGTGCAACTTTCAAAAAAAAAAAAAAAAAAAACTAATTGGGCGTGACTTGTGAATCCTTATTTTCTATTAATGCGACAAATTCAAAACAACATACAAGAAACAAATTCAAATCTGAATCATAAATCCAACGCAACATTTCAAGCAACAAGTCTAGGATTGAGGTAGATTTTTCTGAGGGTTTATTCATGGCAGCCTATCCAACATGAATAAACTACATCTTAATTGTTTCCAAAGTGCTCAAATTATGGAAACTATAAACTTTTGCAAAACCAACAACCTGCAGAAGAAAGTCATTTATCTTGGACAATAGCTTTAGCGCCAACATCAGCATGTCAAGGAATATTCCATAAATATTTCTCGCTTTGAAGTATATTGTATGAAGAAATTATTTTGGTTCTTTCAAAACAAAAAGCCTATTCCAACATTCATAAATGAAATAGTTTAATAAATGAAAATGGCTATGGGATCCAGCCTTGATAAACAACAAAATTCAAGACAAGAAAAACTAGGAAAATCCATACCTTTCAGGGTTTTAGATCCCTTTTCAAATTCAGAAGGAGATTCACAGGCTCCAATTGATGGATCTGAAGTTTTATGCTCTTTTATCCTCCTCTTTTTAGTCTTGACTGATAGCCACTCACCATCCATTCCTACTTGAATCAATAAAAATCTCGATGGGCGCCAAGCCTAGACAAACCAGAGAATTCAATAGATGAGCAACCCGGAAAGTCCATACCTTTCTGGATTTTACATCCCTTTTCAAATTCAGAAGGAGATTCAAAGACTTCAGTTGATTCATCAGAAGCTCTAGTCATTTTTTTCTTCCTCTTTTTGTTCTTGAACAATATTCTCTCAACATCTTTTCCTGCTTGCATCAATAAAAAATCTCAATAGGCTCCAATCCAGGCAAACAACAAAAGTCAAAAGATGAGCAGCAAGGGAAGTCCATACCTTTTCGAGTTGAAGGTCGCTTTTCAATTTCAGAAATAGATTTATGGGCATCAACGGATTCACCAAGAGCTGCATTCTCTTTTATCTTCCTTTTTTTGGTCTTGCCCAGTAGTCTCTCACTATCCTTTGCTACTCGCATCAATAAAAAAACATGAAAAACATAACTAAGTAGCAATTTAGATATAGCAAAATAAAATTCATAAAAACATATAGTATGCACACATAATGAAATGAGAAAACTAGTACACAAACTATTATGACAAGACTAAAGCTAAAATCTAACCAAGGAGATTCTCACCCGACATTAATATAGCACAGAAGCTGGGTGTTGTAAGAAAATTATTCTATTAGATAGCAATGTTGCAAGAACTTCCCTTTCTGTGAAAATTGCACTATTTAACAGGTAACTGAGAAGAAAAAAATGTGAAACTTTCATACACCAAAAAGAAATGTAATAATAATAAGTTTGGTTCATCAAAGGCCAAATCATCATTAAACAACAAACAATGAACTAAGGGGCTGTTTGGTATCGGATTTACAGCGGGATTTAAGTCAGATTTACGCTAAATCCAGCCATACGGTTTTTGTGCGCGCGTTAAATCCCGGCGATGGCTAAATCCCGAATTTAAGGATTTAAGACTTAAATCCCGGAATTACAAAATCCCTCGTCTCGGCGGATTTATGGTATTTGGCCGAAGAAGCACGCGAAAGGTAGAAAGTTACCTTCACAGCCAACGAGCTCCTGTTGTTGCTTCCGATCAAAATGTCGTAACTTCCGATCCGGCAGGAAGGGAAAGTCATCGAAGGAGCGAAGTCGAACAGCCACGAAGGAGCCGAAAACCTCCTGCGAAGCAACGAAGTGGAATAGCAACGACAAAAAGAGAAGATGAAAGGCAAACCCTAGACACTTCTAAGTTATTATTGATTACTTAATTAATATAATTTAAAATATTAATAATTAAGTAAATCATTAAATAATTAATAGTATAATTAGTACATACATTAATTTTATAATTTAATTTAATTGAATAATTAGTAATATAATTAGCAATTAAATATTAATATAATTAGCTTAATTAATATAACTTAAAATATATATTATCAAATATATAATTAATAATATAAATAATAATTGATGAGTAACTTATACTTAACATATTATTAAATTCATAACATATTAATTTTTTAAGTATAATTTTATTTTTTAATTTATAAATATCTTCTTCACATTTAAATCCCTAACTGTCATCAATCATGAAATATGTTACCAAATAGCTTCTCAAGATTTAAAAGGCTTTATCATTTGTCATACCAAATAGTTTTCAATATTTAACACCCTCAAGATTTACTAAATCCGGATTTCCTAGATTTACTAAATCCAACTAAATAAATCTCACTTGTTGCCAAACAGCCCCTAAATGTCATTAACAAGTCACTTAATAAAAAAATAACTCTTTTCAAATCATTCCATATAAACATAACATAAGTTTTTAAATAACATTATATCTATAAATAGTGAAATTATGAGATTATCCAAAACATGATGTAGTATAAAGAAATAAGAACTCAGTTTAAATTCATTCAACCTCTATAATGTTAAAGCCAAGAACTCTCAAATAGCATCAATATATGAAATAATGGGAACTTGGAAGTCGAGGCATGCACCATGAAATCCCTTTCGGTCTCCCAAATGGCCCTAACTCTCAAACCTTCGCCTCAATTGCTTTTCCTAACAAAATTGAATGTGAAAAAAGCAATGGTTTTGCTCAAAAATACAAACAGAGAAACACCAAAGGGGGGAAGCTTCATCACCTTCTTTCTCCTCTATTCAAATACAAAGCGAGCTGGAGATTCCTAAACCTTCAATATTGGAAAATGTAAATAACTGTTCCAACCAAAATTTTAAATTTATTTTAAGATGTCTAATAGAAAAAAAATGGATTGTCTATAAAGTTGATTTCAAGGAGTCATTTTCAAGTCTCTTAAATCAATTTTCACTCCCATGTCATTAGCTAGTTTACATATGGAAAACAAATCCGGAGGTTTTCACTTCTCAATGAGACTTCGATGCATCTCTTGTCGGATTTAAAGCTTTAACCTCCCAAAAAATGTGAGGCAACCACTTCGCATTTCTCCTGCGCAGCAACAGGTACAAAGTTGCAAAATTATTCCTTATGCAACATGAAAGTAGACTATGAGTGCTTTGTTTATGTATTCTTGATATTGTTGTGTATTTCTTGCACACATAATATTTTACTTACATAAAAATATACGGTAGGACTGTAGGACATAGAAAAAACTCAAATAGTTGTACTTCCAAGCAAGAAACACATAGAAAGAGAAGATGTTTCTAACATCAACAGATATTTCTATTATGATTACTAAAATAACAAAATATATTAGCTTCATTTATAGAACAAAGTTCTCAAAGATAAGCACCATTATAGAGAGAGGGATGCAAAAGAAAGGAGACAACTTTCAAGCAAATCTCAAATTCTGTTGAGTGTTTGTAATCAATTGCAAGAGATTAAGGAGAGAAATTCCACCCCATAATTTCTGATGAAAGGAGGGAGAAAATGCCATGTACCTCACCCAACTTCTTGCTCGCAAGGTGTTGACAATCAGAGTAAACAAGGCCTTTTCCGTCTTCCAATATATGTCAATCTTTGCCTTCACTCTCCAAGGTTTTGCAAGGGTTTTAACAGGATTTAAGCACAAGATTTAACTTAAATCCTACCAAACAATTAAAAAAAAAAAAAAAAAAGAACCCTGCAGAATTCTAAAACACGTTTCTTCATTATTTTGCCTTAAATGCAGGATTTTCTTTCCCTGCAGCGGGATTTAAATCGGATTTACGCTAAATCCAGCCAAACGATTTTTGTGCGCGCGTTAAATCCCAGCGATGGGTAGATCCCAGATTTAAGGATTTACGGCCTAAATCCCACATTTACTAAATCCCTCGGTTCGGCCGATTTATGCGATTTGGCCGAAGAAGCGCGCGAAAGGGAGAAAGTTACCTTCACAGCCAGCGAGCTCCCGTTTTTGCTTCCGATCAAAATGTCGTAACTTCGGATCCGACATGAAGGAAAGCCGTCGAAGGAGCGAAGTCGAACAGCCACGAAGCAGCCGAAGAAGCCACGCGTGCAATCTCTACACCTCCTGCGAAGCAACGAAGCCGAACAGCAACGACGAAAAGAGAAGATGGAAGGCAAACCCTAGACGCCTCCAAGTTATTATTCATTAACTTAATTAATATAATTTAAAATAATTACTACTTATTAATAATTAAGCAAATTAATAGTATAATTAGTGCATAAACTAATTATCTAATTTAACTTAATTGAATAAGTAGTAATTAATATTAATATAATAAGCTCAATTAATATAACTTAAAAAATATATAATTAATAGTGTAAATAATAATTAATAAGTTACTTCTGCTTAACATATTATTAAATTTATAACATATTAATTTTTTATTTTTTAATATAAATTTAATTTTTAATTTATAATTATCTTCTTCACTTTTAAATTTCTAAATATCAAAAATCATGCAATATATTACAAACAGTTTCTCAGGATATTTAACAGGATTTAACAAATCATACTAAATAATTTTTAGGATTTAACACCCTCTTGAATTTTTTAAATTCAATTTTACAGAATTTACTAAACCCCACTAAAATTAATTGCCACTTGTTGCCAAACAGTCCCAAGTATCGCGACCCCTCTTCTCCTTCACACGTTAGCCCGTCTAAGCCTTCTCTATAGAGTTCCCGTCGTGGCTTCCTCACTTAGGCTTCGTTTGAGACAGTTTTTTTATTGTTTTTTAAAGCAGCTTATTAATACAAAAATTATTAATTCAAAAATATTTTGTACTAGAAAATTGTTTTAGAAAGCAATAAGAACGCTGTCTCAAATGATTTATTATTTTGTGCGGAGTACGGAGGGCGTCCGGAGACTATTAAAAATGCGTCATGACACCCTAAAAATGAACCGCGCTCAGTACCGAGCGCTTAACTGGACGGTTCTCCCGTCTGGCGTCCGTACATAATAGTAGCTCGTCCCAAATAAAGCCTTGGTGTCATCAAGGTTTTTGGAATTTTGGATAGGAGTACAAGATGCGCGAGGGTTTGGGGAGTGTGTTTGATAAACAAAAGTTCAACAAGCGCCCTTAACCTAATAGAAAATATACAGCGAAAATATGGCCAATGAAAAATAAATGTAATGAATAGTCAGATAATAAAAGACCATTATGTACGGACGGGGAATTTCGGCGGGAAGCAATACTTCCGTCCGTCCATCACAGTTAAGGGGCGGACACAGAGAAACGTCGTGAGGATGTGTTAGATGGAGTGGTAGAAACGAAATAAAGTTGGGATTTGAGTGGTATATATGTAATATTAATGTATGAGATGTTAGATATGTAAAATATTAAGTATATAGTGGTATGTATATAATTTTTTCTATAAAGTAATGCAATTACATGCATTTTTTAAATTAAATTATTTGGTTAATTTTGAGCTGAACAAAGAAAGTCATTCTAACCTAATGGTTTCGCGGAAGCAAAGCTTATAAGTTCTCTCTTCTTCTTCTCCGTTCTTCCCACACTCTCTCCGGCTCTCTAGTCCGAAGTCCTCCGATCGCGGTCTCTGATCCGACGAGGTACAGCAGCGGAACTGGATCAGAGCGGAACTGGATCTCAAAGGAAAAGGCGAACGAGGCCATGATCAGAGCGGAACTGGATCTAAAAAACGGCAGACTGAGAGTCGGAAGAGCGATTCTGACTGCAGATCAGACGTGCGCAGATGAAGACAACGAAGGCAGCGCTCATCCCGAACCCTATCACCGTGGTGACAACATTCAACCGCGAGCCCATCATTCTGCTTTCCTCCAACTGCAATGCTGAATTGGTTTACTTTGGGCGGCGGCTAACGGAGGAGAAATGTCGCCGGCTGAATTCATTTATTTTGGAGCGGTTGGTGCCGTCGCCGAGGTGGATAGTGACAGCGTGGTGGTACAAGGAGGAAGAGATACTTGATGTTGCTGGGTTGGATGCGGTGGTGTTCATTAGGATTATTGTGTTCAGGTCGGTTAAGAGACGGAAATCTGTTTGTTTGGTTTACTTTAATGTTGAAGTTGCTGTTTTGATCGGTGCCTTAGCTTGTCTTTGTGATGGTTTATGTTGCTTTTCCATGGTTCTGCTTTGGAGCGGATTAAACTGATAGATTTGGTCGAGAGGTATCAGGAATATGATTTTTTTTTTCTACCAGATTTGGTTCGGAGTTGTTGAAACTCGGCTTAAGCCGTGGAAACAATTGAAAACGTTGAAGCCAATCAAAACTACCAAAATTTTTTCAAAACTTCTGGCTCCTAAACTCAACAGAAACTATCAAAACTCAACTTAAAACTCATCCCCTATACTATATTTATGATTTTTAAGTTTATGACAAAAACGAAAATTGAAGAAGTTGTTCATTATATTTTAAAGGCTATAATAAATACAAAAATAAACCAGAAATCTGCTTCTTTGCTTTTGATTCTCTCAGAGAGGGATATTTGAATGCTTGTTTTTGTTTTTCTAGTACAAAAATTCAGCTTTAAGAAGCAGTAAGAATGTCATCCCAAAAGTAATTAGAAGTTTTTTTACTGGACCTATGCAATAATACATGATCCTTTTGTGCTAACCATATTATTTGGCAGCCAGAGCATGTGATTCATGGTCTAGAACCAGTTGTCGTGGCTGCAATTTCTACGATGAAGTATTGCCGTGAGGCTTTCCACTAAAAGGAAGATACCCAGTAAGTGCAACCTCTTTGGTGTTCTATGTTCTTATTGTGATGTGCACTTTCTACTCAAGGAATTTTCTTTAAGTTACTTAACTTTGGGGAAAAAATGTATCATGTATGTGTCAAGACATGACAGAAAATGCATAAATGTATAAATGTTGTAAACTTAAATTTTCTGTTAAGAAAATTTATCAGTGGTGTTAGTGTTCAGTTACATTTTTTGGTTGTTTATTTGCTCAGCTCATTGATCAGGATGGGTGTCAAGTGCCCTGACCATAGTAAGGTGCAGGGTACAACAACTTCAACATCAAGCCTTAGTCCTACTATGTAGGACTTTTATATCACACAACAAGTCCGATGCATTCCTCCACTTTAACCATCCAACTTGAATTATTTTGATAATATTCCTATCTATTTCTCCATCACTCTGAACAATATAAGTTGTAGGTGACTGTTTGGAATAATTTGAAAAATAATTTAATTGATTGTTTGATTCTAAAATTATCAGTAGATTTGTTCACCTGCATGATTAGACATTAGACAGAATTCTTGAATAAGAAAGCATCTACATTTCTCCATAATTTTTTGAATCAAGTGCTGATTTGAGTAGATTAGCAAAATTACTATCATTTTACTTCTATAGCTACAGAGCTACTTGGTTTGATTGGCCCTGATGCAAACTTACTGTCATTTTATGATGAGAAATTGGTGATTCCTTTGTAACATCCACCTTCTTGACGTCTGAAGCTTCAGCACATCTGTGGAGGAAATGAGAGGTGCAGGTTTTTCTTGTTATATGCGCCTGTGAAGAAGTTTTGAGCTGTGTAAACATCAAATGAAAAATTCTTGGGGAAACTGTTAACAAATGGGAAATGGCTTATTATTTGATGTCCTGGTTTGAATCTCTACCCAGACCATAACCCTGTTATTGTATCTGACTGATTATTGGTTACTGCAAGTTGCAATCACTCGTCAAATCTCATGTAAGATATCCATATTGCATAATTGTTGCTCCTAAAACCCTTAAACATTATTTAATTCAAGCAAAACTATCATCTGGAACTAAATTAACGTATCCAAATCTATGTAATATTCATTTTCTAGTGGAAAGATCATTGACTAAAGTTTTGTTTGGGACGGCTTTTTTATTGCTTCTTAAAGCAGTTTTTTAGTACAAAAATTAAATTTCTTATACTAGAAAGTTGATTTAAGAAGCAGTAAGAAAGTCGTCCCAAACAAAACCTAAATGGCATGATTCTAGCATGTAAATGTTGCAGCTCAAGGCTCATCTTTAGTGATGCTTGGATTGATTTCCAATTCTAAAATCAGCAGAAAAGAAAAAACTTGGATAAGTTTTTCAGAATATGAATGTTTAAACTGATTTACTCTCTTTTTTTCTCAATTAGATGTTCGATTTGCTTGGGGGAATTCCAAGACAAAGAGGTGCTTTGAGTAATGCCTTCTTGTCATCATAAGTTCCATCTTATTCGTATAGATTTATGGATGCAGCAGCACTCAACATGTCCTATCTGTCGTTTGCCATTAAACAAACATGAAGCGAGATTAGAATCTCCCTTTGCAAGTTCACTTCAAGTTCATGGGGCGGAGTATACCAAGAAATTCATGTAACTCTTTCTACAGTATTTGGAGATCCTCATGCAGAACATGAGCGTGGTACATAGTGAAGCTGGGAGATATAGAAATATTCCAATTCTAAAGCAGCGTTGAGGAAACGCAAACCCTACACAAACAGGCCTAATGCTTCAGGAAGAGCGCAGGCTGTTGGGTTGGAAAAAGAAAGCAGCTTTTTTATTTCTGAAAAATTAAGGGCAAAAGCACAACTTCATTAACATGAAAAGGAGTTACACGAGTAAAAATTGTTATATGTACTATATACCATGTATTCTGAATATAATATAAAATAAATCCAATGTATTTAGAATATTTTAGGAACGTCTGATTATCTACAAAGTAAGTATAGGAGAATTATTATTTTTTATTTGATTAGATATATGCAGAATAAGATAAACATAATGTATTTTGAATATTTTTATGTTGTTTAATATGGTGTCCTACATCAAATGCTATATCATTGTATTTTAATGACATCAATACCTTTCAATGTTTGAACAAATGATACTTATTATTTAAACAATGTGAAATATATACATATTAGAGCGTGTAAAATTAGAAACTAAACATACAAAACAACCACTTATTTTTACTACTTTAATCATTAAAATGAATAATCATATACATATTAAAATTAACAGTAGAGACACTCAACATAAAATATTAATATTTAATTATTCCATAATATATTTAAAGGTCACAGGCGGGATTAGAGGTGTCAAAAATTGACACGACACAAAAATCCGACTTGAACCCGACACAAAATTTTAGGTTCGGGTCAACCCGAACTCAAAATGGTTAGGGTTTAGGTCCTAATTTTCGACATGTTTCAAATTTCGGGTTGAGTTCGGATTGACCCGGAAACCTGACAATGACCTAGTTTTGACCTGAAGAAGCGCACGAAAGGGAGAAAGTTAGCTTAACAATGAGTGAACTTCTGTTGTTGTTTCCTATCAAAATATTGTAACTTCTAATCCGATCGGGAGGGAACGTCATCCAAGGAGCGAAGTCGAACGGCAATGAAGGAGCTTCACAGCAAGCGAACTCTCGTCATTGCTTTCAATCAAAAGGCTGTAACTTCCAATCAGATCAGAAGGAACGTCATCCAAGGAGCGAAATCGAATAACAATGAAGAAGCAGGGAGCCAGCCAGCGAGCGAACTCCCGTTGTTGCTTCTGATTAGAAGGTTGTGACTTCCAATCTGACTAGAAGCGAACGTCGTCCAATGAGTGAAGTCGAATGTCGTTACGAGCCGGATTCAGTTTGACCCGGATAGTGCCAAATCAGTTTTGGGTTCGACTCGAACCCAACCCGTGACCCGAAATTAACACCCCAAGGTGGGATGCAAGAGCGAAGGAAGGAAGAAGAAAGGGCGCCTTCGAAAGTTGCAGGAGCCATACAGTTGGTATTCCATTACATTTCATGCAAGAGAAAAGCAATGTATTTGGAACTCACTATATTTTAGCGGGTTTCAAATACACAAGAAATATATGGTCAAGTGAGCTTCAAATGCTTTACTTTGTTATTGCTATCACACCCCAACCCAACCATGAGAAATCCTATCGTGCTAAGTTCTGACAAACAAATCTAAATATCTAGTTCTGAAATTATTTCAGATTTTCTACTAATATTCATCGAAATAAATTATTGATTATAGAGCTACTAAAATATCCAAATACTGAAAATAACTCATCCATAAGGTTTCTTTCATTTCATCAAAAAAAAAAAATGTACAATACAGTACATGCTAAAGGCAATACCTAATGCCTTTCTATTTAGGAAGTGAAAGTCGTCAACAAGACTATTGTAACTGTTGCAGACGTATCAAATTGAAGAAAAAAAAAACATCTTTGATTACGATGAAAAGGAACAAGAAAAAATAGACCAATATTCATTTTGCGAGGACTTTATGATCTGACATAACCGCTGATCGGGCTCTGAATCTGTATCGAAAATTTCCTAATTTCGAAAATTTCCTAATTTCGGAAGCGAGTTTCAAGTGCATCAATCGAACGTACACTACGTACATGCTAAAGGCAATAGCTATAGAGCTGAAAATTTATCAAGTCATGATTGTATAAAAATAAAAATAGCAAAATACATATAACCTCAAATCTGATCCTAAATTTCTAGTCCATATTCTCCTTACCCTTCTCGGATCCTGAAACTAGAAAAAAATCATAGTGAGCTACAACAGCTCAGCAGGCCATACAACCAAATCTAAAATTTTAAATATTTTTTTATCAATATTTTACTAAATATTTAAAATTGGTTAAATAGAGTTTAAATAAATCATTATATTGAGAGATGTAATAAATGCATAACAATTATTCCCTGATTTAAATAATAATACTTAACAAATAAATAAATTTGTAATGTTGTAATGTTGTCGGGCATAATAGTGCCATGTGCCCCAACAACCTAAGTACATCAAGGTGATACTCTCATTTTTCACATGTTCATCTCATTAGGCTATAAAGCACTCCAAATTTATCCTGGATCTTCTCTATATTTACAAGATATGTCACTTTCAAATTTTATAAATAGATTATCCTCTTCCCACATGAGGAGGGGGCTGAAACTTTTCGAGAAGGCTTAGACTTTTAGAGGCTTTGACCCTAGAGAGCTATGATGTTTGAAGTATCATCGAGCTCCACCCCGACACCACTACAACTGAACCCTAGCCACCATGGCGTCGCTTCTGGAACTATGCCTGACCAACATCATCGGTCCTTTGTCCGACAACTAATTAGCCATCACCGGGACTTTGTTCGACTATTGTCACCCGCCGACTACAGTTCCTTTGACCTCTATCATATGTCGACTACAGTCCCTCTGATCACCATCGTCAACCAAATATGATCCCTTCAACATATGTCACGTGCCAACTACAGTCCCTTCGACTATCGTCGTCCACCGACTACTATCCCTTAAACCTTCGTCACCCGCGGACTACGGTCCCTTTGACCACCGTCGCATGTCGACTAGATTTCCTTCCACAACTATCGCACATCGACTACGAGCCCTCTAACCTCTGTTTCCCGTTGACTATATTCGCTTTGATCTCAGTTGCCCGCTTACTACGATCTCTTCGACTACCATCGTTTGCCGACTACGATCTCTCCGACCAAATGAATATGCCAACTTTCTCTTGAAAATAACTTTCTTATCAATGGTTCTTCCAACTCCAACCATGTTATGTAATTTATATGATGTATATTTGCTATATTGAGCTTTAAAAAGAACATCATTTGTAATAAACCACAAACACTAGTAGAAACATTATGCTGGGCCAGGCCTAATGGCTTTTCCCCTTTATAGAGTTTTCCACATAAAAAATTAAAAACCTTGGTATTTTTATGACTTGCACCTCTCTCATATGTCTATGTGGTGGATCTTCATACAATGCTAAGACGTTAAACTTTTTATCTCTCTATCGTTGCCAATGATCGAGTCCGCAACAATCATCTAAATTTAAATATTTAATTATAATATTTGAATAAATATCTACTAATTTCCTTAATTAATACTTTTCTATTTATTTAAAAATATAATATGTAAAATATATATTACATATATTTTATAATAAGATAAGTTAGTTATGTATATATAAATATATAACATAAGTTATTTAAATAAATTTAGTTAGATAAAATTTTGATTTAACGCCTAATTACTACTTTTCTGTCAAATTCCATGAGCATGAAATAAAAAATTTTATTGAACGGGCATTTAATAATTCCATCTCCCGATTTCACCCTAAAGAGTAAAATAATTTTTCATATATTTGCTTCGTTCCTTCTTTTAATTATTTCATCCGCCCTTCTAAAAATTTTTCCTATTGGGAGGCCATCTCTCCTAAAACCCTAGCCGACCCTCCGAAAGCGAAGGAAGATATGGGCAGCGATAGCGAGACGGAGAAGACAACAAAGGAGAAGAAGAAGCTGATCTTGCTCGCGCCGATAGCCAAACCCATCGCTGGAAAGAAACTCTGTAAACGAACCCACAAGCTTGTACGCAGTGGTATTTCACGTTTTTTCCGTTCCCTTCAATCTAAAATTCTACAGAGCTTCCATCGTTTATTTTAAAATTTTGAGGATGGACTTTTCATATTGGGGCGTTATTCGAAAGGCCCGTTTTTTACGTAGAATGTTTCTTCTTTCTGTGTCTTCTTGCTTTGCGTCAGGTTCTGGTTTAGTCGTCATATGTTGTCTTTCATACCTCTTTCTGATTTGGTTTGAATGAATTTACTTAATTTGAAGCTTCTAATTCTCAGCTACTAAAGCCAAATGCGTGAGGAGAGGAGTGAAGGAAGTGGTTAAAAGCATCCGCCGTGGTCATAAAGGGTGGGTATTTTATGTCCTCTGATTTATATTATTTGGTAAATCTTCACAGCAGTAACTTTATCGAGAACTTTGGTAATCCACGAATAAGTGCTTTTACGTGTAGAGAATCTATTTTTCATTCATGAATCATGAAGAAGAGTTTACAACATGACAAAGCTTTAAATAGTCTAAGATATTTCTAAACTACATTTTGTTTTAGTATACGAATAGTAAGAATTTAGAAAATAAAAATATAATAGTTGGCATACCGGCCACTTATGCTGAGCACTCATTTTAAATAGTGGATCCACCTAGTAGAGTACTCTAAACTCTTTGGATGGCTTGTGCGATTTAATTATATTATTTGGGCTAGTTTTAGGTTGATGAAACTTTGATGTAGAACATCAAACTACAGTGGAATGCCTCACTATATGATCAATATCAAATTCTTAGCATGAGATCAAGGGCTAAGATATCATCATCAAGAAAGTATCAATAAAGAGCCTTGATATTGAACTTTAAAAAAATATAGCTTGAAATTTAAAATTGTAGTAATTTCTTTTTAAATTTAATATGAAACATTTTGGAATTATATTTTCTTTATTTCAGTTAGCCTTAGGATTGATTAGGAAGCAGTAAGGTTAACCACTTGATATGAGGATAGAATCTTAGAGTGTAATTGGAGTAGTTTCACTCAACTTCCTTATTTTCTTTCCTAAATTTGATTTTTTCCTCTTCCTTTTTCAATTTTTAATTGTTGAATCTAATGTAATTTTTTAAATATTGTTGGAAATGAATGATATATTTTAAATATTTTGACAAAAATTAGAAGTAAAATCTCTAGGCTTTAGAGCTTGGTGGCCTAATCTTTCTCTTCAGGTTCTTCTTAGTGGAATATATTGGTATCTTTATTCTATTTGATTATCTCTCTCCCAATCTCTCGTAACATATTCTCTCATCTTGCTAGTATTATCCTACAATATTTCGGTATTTCCTCAAAAAACCTTAAATTCCTAAAAAAATTCAAAACCCCCTCTTGAAGCTGTTAGCTAAGCTAGTGATTCTTTTGGCTTAGTTTTGGTCATTTTTTTTCTCAGTTACCTTTAAAATACCTTAAATATTCACCCAAGCAGTCCCTACAATCCACTTAGAAGGTTTCGGATTCCAATCACATCACAATAGTTTTGGATCAAGTGTGATAGTGAAGGAGAGCTTATACTATCCCTGTGTGCCCCATAAGGCGAGCTGATACCCTGAATACGATCTATATCTCGCACACCTCCCAGTTCACCACTACCAGATTGTTCTCCATAGGCTTCCACTTTATCAATTTATTTCTCCCACGACTCCTCTTTTTTCTACCCCAACCTCCAAGCCTAACCACTTTGACAACCAAACCCCAATGATCTTCTCCGTGCTACCGCCCATTTGTTTGACTACAATAGCCTCCATTGTTTTGAACCCCTCCCCTCCTTTTTTGTTGTTGATGGTGATGGCTCTCAAATGGAGAACTTGCAGATGAATAGGGAGGATGAGCAATACAACAACATATATGTGAGCCTATTGAGGTCTCGTATTAGGTCACCTAGATTGGTTTGATTTTAAAATTGTCATGCTAATTGGTATGGAGGGCAAATTTTTTAGAAAAGAAAGAAAACAAAAGCAAAAACACACTAACAAATATGTTCTTAGTGTATATTTTTCTATTTTTATATTTTATGATACTTGTTTGTTACATTGTCATATATTGTATTTCTTAACGATGCAGGTTGTGTGTAATTGCTGGAAATATTTCACCTATTGATGTAATCACACATGTCCCCATATTGTGCGAGGAAGCCGATATTCCATATATTTATGTGCCTTCAAAGGAGGTCAGTTGGAACTCTTTCTATTGTCCTTCTAATGTTTAGTAATTTAAAATAAAAATGAAGATGTCCATTGAAGTGTTAATTAAACTCTCCCGATTTAAATGTTTTCCACCATTGATAGCTATAAAATATTCTCATCCACCTCTATTGAAGCTGCATTTGTTTTCTTGCCAAATAATCCATTCTGGCATACTTTTTCGTTGATTTTATCTTCCTAGGATCTCGCCACCGCCGGAGAAACTAAGAGGCCAACATGCTGCATACTGGTGCTGACAAAGCCAGTCAAGGGGGAGCTGGACCAAGAGGTGCAGGAGAAGCTTAGAACTGAATATGAACAGGTTGTTTCTGAGGTGAAACAATTGGCATCGTCTCTTTACTAAATTCTGAGCAGAATGGAGTTGAGCCAAACTTATCTTACGGTGCCTAGTTGTAGCATGCAGAGAAGCTGAAATGGTGAGAGTAGAATATGATCAGGCTGCGTCAAAGTGAGTTGATGCTATTTCTCTACTAGCAATTTAGTGGCATAATCGATGGAAGGAAAGCTTGTATTTCGTAGTTGTAATTTTTATTGATGTTAATTTTATATGAATTTTGAGGACCACTAACAATGTGCGTATTTAATAATGCATCTTTTTTTTTTTTTTTTGTAATGGAAAAATAGATCAACTAGTACTATGGGTACATGAGTGCAATTTCTGTATGATCTGTAGGCTAAAATTTTCTCTCTAGTATATATTCTATTTTGATTTTATATGGAATTTGCAGTCATGGTAATCTGTCTAAGGATGCTATGATGATACTTTGTCTCTGAATAAGCTGTTGGTGAAAGATTTGTGTTAGGTCGGTTCACCCTGAGCCAGCCCAGCCGGCCCTCTACAGGTGGTGGCACTTGTCCGCCTCCCTTCCTTCTTGCCGCCTACAATAGTGGGCCGCACTAGTCCAAATTGAATTCAAATTGCAAAGGAGGGGGCGGCTAGGGCTTGGGAGGGAAATTAGATTAAGAAATTTTATATATTAAAGAGCATGAGATGTTTTAGGGTGAGTTTGTGTTTTGATTTGTTCTCTATTACGGTTTTTTTGGCAACTTGGGCTCTAGACTCTTGCCTAGAGATTTGGGAGAGACGATCCTCCGCTCGAATTGAGGATCTCTTGTATCTTGTTTTCATTTTTGTTTGGCTTCGATTTTCCTACAGCAATATATCGTTTTGGGGCTGATTTCACCCAGATTTTGCATTATTCTCGCTGTTTTTCACCATTTGGAGATAGGTTTGCTTGCGAACTCAAGTATTTCCTATCACTTGGCAAGGTAATCAATCCCTTTTTCCAGGGAGATTACTTATACCGAACACATTAATATATTCACCAACTAATTAAGTGTGGCTGCCTGCTGTATGCCTAAGCTTGCATTCATTCCTGCTTCTCAAAGGGTGTAGCAAATTATCTGTTACTAGTCTCCAAACTTTGCACTTGAATGCAAAGCTTAAACATTTTCATGGGAAACATAATTTTCTAATGCTAGACGTTTGATATATAAATCTGATTCAATAAATAGAAGAATATCCGTCAAGATATTTCTATGTTCTCATACAAACCTCCAATACATGTTTATTGTCACATTATGTTGGAATACAATTTACTAGATGAACAACTCAGTGCCCCAATTGTCTTCCTCCCAATCTCCTTATGTGTTGACAAATCTGCAGTTCTTTCTTACTTCACCTCCTAGTGGATTGGTAATGTTTCCCATCTTCACCATTGCATCAGAGAAGTGCTTGAAGAAGATTATAGGGTCCACAGCGTAGGTCTTTACGAGATCGGCGGTCTCGAACCCGACAAGGCTCGTGTACATTTCCTGGTCTGAATTAAGTAGCCCCTCGCCTTTTAGTAAAGATTGGTAGAAAATGTTGTCGAAAACGTTCGGACTGACATAGTCCATTGGGGAGATCTTGCTGTCATGTCCAATCTCAGGGCAGATTGATTGCAGCTTACTTAGATAGATTTTGGAGCCCAGGTCAAATTGTGATGTAGCTACAAAGTCTCCGTAGATCCTATCTCTGAAATTCACACACCTTGCCATTCCAATGGTGTGCGACCCTGCAAGATCATAGTAGAGATGTTTAATAACTTAGGTTTCGTATGAGAAGACTTTCTTACTGCTTCTTAAAGCAGCTTTCTAGTACAAAATTTTTAATTTTTTGTACTAAGAAGCAATAAAAAAACTATCACAAATAAAACTTTAATTGATCAAAAGAAGCTGATCGTATACTCAAAATTATATTATAAATGATTCATGAGCTCTTAAAGTATACCTATTAGAGCCACCAGATCTTGTGTTGACAGACCTTTACCAATGAACTTGGCTATGAGGGTGACAAGGTTCTGGTTTGGGGTGGGGATATCAGTATTTGCTAGCTCCAGGCTTGCAGTCTTTGCGTCCTGCCGTCCGACCGGAACATCCCAATAAGGTCCCCCAACCTGTGCGGTGCACACAGTTTGAATGTGAGCCATCATATCATTATCGCTATTGAAAAATTATTACTTGTGGGTTCAGATTCTTTGTGACACTAATAAAAATGCATCACGTTGCCTCAAAAAATATGTCGCACTCGGTATCGAGCACTCGGCACCGCTCGGTACCGAGCACGGAACCGGATGGTTCTCGATATTAGAGTATTAGATTTTCAGCTATGAGTAAGTTGTCTTTTGAGCTTTTTGTTATTATAAATCTTAGATCTTTTTGAATTTGTTTGTTACCAAAAGGACTGCATCTCTTGCTGCTATAGCAAGCAAATCAGCACATGATACAACTCCAGGACACTCTCCTTCGAGCTGGTTCTTGATGCGATCTACAAGATCGAAACCGATCAGAGAGTTCACATTTTGAGAGGCGGTCTTCTCTCCTAACAGTGTCGCTGTGTCATCCAGTAGTACAGATCCATCACATCCCTGTAATCATTTGAACATTTTATATTGCGGTTGTTGTGATAAGTATAAAAGGGAACTCAAGATATGTAAAAGTGGAGCCTTTAAGTACATCAGTTCATGTTCACTTCCAAAATCTTAAACAATGCATTTATGACTTTCTATAGAGAAGTTACCTGACAAATATAAATACATGGAAATAAATATAGTAGGGGTGTCAAAATGTGTTTTTGGCTCCGGTTTGGGTTCAACTCGAAAATGACCCGTTATCATTTGACTAAACCCACACATGACCTGATTAGAGATATTAAAAGGGTCACATGCATACACTAGAATCAAACTAGGTTCGGGTCCGAATTGACCTGACATGACTAACCAACTTGTTTATTTTTAAAAAATTTTTAACTAAAACCATTTCGCCAAATCTAGTAAATATGCTCTTGGATCCTTTTGTGCGTTGACTCGAGCGAACAGCGTTGTCTTTTTTGTATTCCGCATGCTTTTTGGCCAAATCATAAATCTCCACCAGTCTGTACACTCTTTTGCCAAACAAAATAAAAGTTACAAAATCCCAACCATCTTGCTCCCATTTTGAATTTCGCCCGTCCTTGTCCTGATATGCCGCTCCCATTTCGGATTACAAAATCTCGCTCGTACCATAGCTCCCACTCTAATTTCAGATTTCGCCCGCCGTGCTCCCGCTTCTTCCGCAAAATCCCTCTAAATCCGTACAATTTGGGTGAAGATCGAGTTAATTTCGGATTGTCAGGTTGTTGAATTGAACCCAACCCTTTTTTAAATGGGTTCAATTGTTAGATCCGAATTTAACCATTTTGTTTAATGGGTCAACTTGAATCCATAATTTTCTGGTTGGGCTTGGATATGATCAATTTTTGTCACCCCTAAAATATAAAAATAACCAGAGATTCTTCACGCAAAACTTAGCCTATTCATCTTGCGAGCATACCTGGAGTTGTTTCCATCTCTTAATAGTGCTATAAATTTATTTTTTTTCCTTTTGTTTATCTATTTTCTAGCATGTGTTGGATCTTTGTTTTAGTATGCTGACTCTTCTTATTGTAGACCACCTTTGAATTGAAATATATTCTATGATTTAATCCTTGAAAAAATAAAGTTTCTTTTGTGATATTTAAAAAAAAAATGATATTTATATTTTTAAAGAGTATTATTAAGTATAATTGGCTTTTGATTGGTGTATTTTTATCTCTCGTGAATTTTCACTTAAAGCTTTCATGAATATTTTAATTCATTCGTGATAATATGTGTAGATATGTTTGGGATTGAACCCACAAGTAAAACATGAGTTGCTCGTGAACATAAAACCTAAATTATAGAATATATACGACCAAATATATGTGTTCATATATTCATATAAATATAAATACATGAATAAAAATATTCAAAATCTATAAGCATGTAAGTATATATATATATATATATATATATTAGAAGTTACTATCAAGTCGAATAGATTAACGTTTTATTATTGTTAAGCTTGTTAAATAAATTAACTAATTAAGTTTTTGTTTATGATCGTTTTCTTATTATTTTTTAAAATAATTTTTTTTTTTAAATAGAAATTTTTGTAATAGAAAGTTATTTTAGAAAGCAGTAAAAAATTTGTCCCAAAATGAAGCCTAAGATTTCATTCGGGATAAATTTTTTTGACTATTTTCTGAAACATTTTTTAGTTAAAAAAATTATACTTAAATAATTGTTTTAAAACAATAAAAATTTGTCCAAACGAAGCCAGAAACATGTCGAATTCACGTTAGCTAACTAAACGAAAACTATTTTGCTGCGTTTTTACGGTTATTAAAAACCAGTCCCACTGACCTGAACAAAGCAGTCATGGAAGTGAAGTCGAAGGATTGCAGCTGCATTGCGCGGATTCTGACGCACAGCACAATCCATCTCCTTGCGCACAATCTGCTGCGCAGCTGGGCAAGATTTATCATAGTAGCTCAACGTCAGCTTCGATTGATCTTGCGCCATTACCAATCTCCCCAGAGCTCCCAGAATACAAATCATCACAGCCAAGTCGAGAAATACTGACTTCGAGAAACTCGCAGCTTCCATTTTTCTCTTCTTTTCTTGACAGTTCTTAGCTACTCTCGAGTGGGAGAAGAAGGTTAAAGCTTACTCAACTTTATATATTTGTTCAAGGATGGAAATGGTCATGGCGAAGAGACGAGCTCGTGCTTCAAATTAGTGGGAATGTGATAGTCAAGGTGGAGATCAACTAAAGTTGGTGGGTTTGGTGTGGAGTAGCAAAGCTAATTGCCATCAGATTTTAACTCTCTAGAATTTAACTTTTTTTGAGTTCTTTTATATTATTTCTTGTTTTTCTATTTGGTATTTTAAGCTCACCAATCATGGAAGAACGAGTAGAGCTCTCTTACATATACTTCGTTTGGGACGGCTTTCTTACTGCTTCTTAAAGCCTTTATCCCACTACATGGGCTCGGCTACATGGATCCTTTTCTCCATTGTGTCCTATTAAAAGTCAAATTCTTGTTTAAATCTAATAGAGAAAGATAATTTCTAATATTTTCTAACCAAGCCTTTTTAGGTCTGCCTCTATCTTTCTTAACATAAGTCAAATCTAATACCTCTACTTTCCTAACCGGGTCATCGGAAGGCTGCCGTTTTATGTTACCAAACCATCTAAGGCGACTCTCTCTAATCTAATCTATTAGAAAAAAATAATTTTTATATTAAAAAACTGCTTTAAGAAGCAGTAAGAAAGCCGTCTCAAACGAAGTAATAGCTGTATGAGATGGGTATTGATTCCAGGATTGCTGTCAGCAGCTTTTAGCGTTTGCTTTTCTACATTTCTGTTGGTTTGTTCTCTTGAGTGGTTAGCATAGTGATACAAAGTGTTATAGTTTATTGTGGAATAAGAGCTATTGAGTTTGACTTGAGTTGTTCGGTCATGGCTGTGCTGATTTGGTTATTCTAATTATCTTTTATTGGAGTGGAAGATGGGTTAGATTAGAATTTTGCTTGGTTGAAATAGATAGATTATTATTGTTTTTAGTGGGTGGGATTGGAGTTATGATGTATGAATATTTCTCATGTGTATTTTATATATCTATTATTGATAAATATATGACACAAATATCAATTAATAATGAATTATCTTCATGACTCATAATAATGCATATAATAAAGGTGGAGGTTGAGAAGCATGAAGCTCTTTGGAGGAGGAAACTATTCTGTGCGGTCACTAGATCGTCTGGAAGTGAATCAAAATGCGCCATGGCACTCGGCGCATCCAGATACGCCTCCGGGCGGCATCCGGTGACCGCACATAATAATTTCTCCTTTGGTGGAGAGTAAGGAGTCTTGCTTAATTTTGGAAAGTGCCAAGCCACAAATGGAAGAGCTAGTGGGTTGCATTAGTGACAAATGTTGCACTTGAGGAGGGGATTCCTATTGTTAGGGCGTTAGAATTTCATGTACAGTGCATGGGAGGAAGACTAGATTATGGGGTTTGAAAATGCTTAAACTAGTGCCAGAATAAAAATAGTGATTAGTGCCTTTTAGCCTAGCTAGTGAGTGGAGCTTTGGATCCCAAAAGGCTCATGTTTCGTTTGGGACGACTTTTTACTGATTCATAAAGCAGAAAGTTGCTTTAAGAAACAGTAAGAAAGCCGTCCTAAATGAAACCTACAATTAATGTGAGAATTTGAGCAAATTAACTATTAATCTTTAATAATTATATTTGAATATAGTCGACATCTCTAAAATAAATAAATAAATTAATTTTTTTATCTTATAAAAGGGAAAATTTGATCTTATGGCCATGGAAATGATTGAATGATAAATTTTAAAATATGACTTGGATTTATAATCTTATAAAAAGAAAAATTTTACTTTCTTTGCCACATAATGCTTAGTAATAGACCAATATACATTGTTTGTTTGGTTTTTTTTTTTTTTGTGAAAATATGCCTCGAAGTTGCTTTTGACAAAATTACGCCTGAGATGAAAGTAGTGCACAAACTACTTGAGTTTTATTCCATCATTTAACCCATACTTTTAAAATCCTAGAGGAGTTACAAAATCGAAAGTATAATGAATGTTTAACTAAAATTTTGCTTTATAATTAACAAATTTCTTACATCACTATGTTACAAACATAGCACTATATTCAAACCTCCATAGTTTATTTAGATAGAAAAGCTTGATTCTTACTCTTCAATGAGATATATAATTGATGAGTGTCAAGATATTCAGCTCAATATACATCACTATGTATCAAATGAAGATGAGAACCATAAACAATGAATTAATGTCTTGATAAAATATCAAATGATTTGATGAAAGACAACCATATGTAAGTGATGAAGAATTTGCATAAATTGACTTACTTTTGGAATTTCAAAGGTAATATCTAGTCGATTAATGGTCAAATTGGTTAAACTACTTTACAATTATCTTTATATGCATGGTCGGATCAAAGAGAAGAAGTCACCTTCCTCACAATGACCAATTATTTATAGATGGTGGGATCAAAGAGAAGTCACCTTCTTCCTCACTATGATGCTTTGTATTTATTTTTGATGTAGTATTCATAGGGGAAATATTTTGAAGACCTGCTAAAGTAATTGGATCATGTGTATACTTATGTTGTTATAGAAATGTATGAGAGGAATTTGTCTTTACTTCCAAACCTAAGAAGTATATGAGGACTCCAAGATTCTTCATATGAAATGTTCCATAAAGACAGAGATTTCTAGTAGTGACTCGACATTAGTAGAGAAAATAATCAATTTTTAAAGAATGTAATGTGATCATAGAATAAAATAAATTTAAAATGCAAACCTAAATTTTTATTTGAACTATAGCACAGTGACACTATTCCTTTTAGTGTTACGGTGCTTGGTTATGAGCATAGCGGTGTCAGAAATCACCACTTTGGCATTAAAGCCTTTATTCTAAAGTAATTCTAAATTAGTCACGCAACGCTACGCCACTATGTGGTGCACTACAGTGCTACACACTAAAAATTGTTATATATATATATAGAAGGGAGAGGAAAAGAGGAGAGAGGAAAGAGAAAGTTGCATTTTGGTTGCCAATTTGCTTTGTTACTTTTATGAATTGCTTAGATTTAAGTAGGTGGCTTATTCCCTACTTTTATTTTCAAAGATTTTGATTTTGACCACTTGGTTTCTTTGAAATTGAATTTATTAAATTTTCCTCAAATTTAATGAACTTCAATCATACAACTTTTTATATGTTATAACACTGATTATTATAGACATTTTGATTGGATGATTTTACATTTGTACTGTGTAAAATAAAAGTTTTTATATTTTAAATGATTTACAAGAATATGAATTTTGATATTTTATTATAGGCATATTGTTAATACAATCATTATGAATGAATATGATCATGTGGTTGAGTAATATATAATCGTTATTACTGTTATAATACTATGATAATAATAATACATGAAAACAAGCAAAGGAGGGTGAACTACTGATGTTGGCTGAAGACTGACTAACGTGTACAAGATGGTGGGCCGACAAATTTTCCTTTAAATTTTAAAGTTTGTTGTTATCCTCGACTAATTCATATGATACATTAATTGAGAGTTTTAATGAGTTATTACTATGCCAATGGGCAAGGAGTGACGACTTTATTTACTAATCCAATAGTTACTGATTCCTAATTACCGACTACTAGAAAAACATTGCTTTGCAAGAACTCCTCTAATGCTACTGCCATCGATAATACATTAATTGACAGTTTAATGTGATTACTACAATGCATGTTATTGATTTAATGTGATTACTTGAATGAATGTTACTGATTCATTGTTATTGTACAATCTTACCGTTATTACACTGATTTACAGTTAATGTACGGATATACTATTACTATTACTGTACTACTCTAATGCTACTGCCATCGATGATATTGTTATTTATTCATTGATATTGATATATTGATTCATTATATTATTACTATTTGCTGATTCACTATTATCAATAATATAATATATTGAATATGTGATTATAATAATGATCTGATACTAATATAAAATGGTTGGATAGCATGTGTGTAATATTATATAATTTTATTTTATTGATATGGTTTCAATGGTCTTCATCGAGGTTTTGGTTTTACCAATTTTTATATGATTTTCTTATTGGGTTAAATAAGTACTACTATGACGGTTGCTTCATTGATTTGACTCCCGTATTGGTTTATTGATTTTTTGCATTGTGTTATTTTACTAGCTTCTTTAACATACCGTTATACAATTTTTAAGATTTTACTGTTACTGCATGTGTTTACTATTTCTACACAGGTTCATGATCGTATGTCTGCTACTATTATGAATTGATTAACAATATGCATATTATTTTTTTATTATAATTTGAGTTTAGTTGTAGGATTTAGTGACCTACTAGGCTTTCTAGCTTAATTATTATATGAGATTTAAATGATTTTAAATTAGGGCAGAAGATCAGGAGTATAAGATTGATTAGAATTTATCATATTTTGCTTCTTTTATTTTAGTTATTTTTTTGGTACTAAGGACTAGATGATGTGTTATATTGATATGATTCTTACGTATTGTATATGATTTTTGGAGCAATAAAGACATATGCATATTGATGTTTTGATTACTAGATTTGTTTTTTCTTATATTATTATTGATAAAAGAAAATAGATAGCTATGCTGTTGTTATATTAAAAAAAGAAATTCTTCCCATTTAGATTCTAGGATATGACAATTTGAATCTTGTTGGAACAAGGTTTAAACTTTGTTTGACGATTATTCAAACTAGTTTCTTTGCCATGTTACCTTCCTGCATACATAAACATACTCACGTAGATGATCGAGTCGATAATAGAGAAGGCTAGTCTTAAGGCAATAATAAAGATACTTAAGGAAGAAAGAAAATTAATGGATCATATGCCCATTGATTAATTACTACATGAATATTTTTTCTTCTTTTTTCTCCTCAAGGATCTCTATCATTGCCTTTGTATCAATCTCTTATAACTTTAACCACCCATGTATACATGCATATTTATGTGTTCAAGATGTTAAAACTACAAAGGAACTACTTCCAACTATGATTGAAAATAGTTTATTTTGAACATAAATTCTCATTTCATCACCTTCATATAATACCTAAGGCTTCTATTACAAGGGGCAATCATTACTTTCAAACTTATAGAATTAAATAATAACACAAATGTTCCACCATGTCC